AAAGTTATATCTTATTTTTAGCATATTCCTGTCACATTCACAAATATTTTTCCATGTATTACAATCAAATGAGACAAGAAATGCTCTGTAACAGTGAGAATCACTTTTATTCCCCAAGTATGTTAATTCACTAATGGATAGCTACACAGTTGTTGCTTTATCATTTGCACCTCTGATGATGATCTCAGAATAAGGTGGAAAGTACTTGAGGGAAATAAGTGATTTTCACTGTTGCAGTACATTTCTTGCCTCATTTGAGTGTAATATATGGGGACATAATTGTGATATAAAAGGATTATGATAAAAATAAGCAGACATAATGTTTGTAATTTATTTAATCATATATATATATATGTGTGTGTGTCAGTGTGCATATATGCAGGATGTATTAAAAATACTTTTACAAACATTGAGCGTGGGTTTCTCACACCAAAAAAAGGACAAACGTCCATATAAATATATATCCACAAATCCTTTGTTTTTGAGTTATTAAGTTTAAAGGAAGTTTGCAGTTGATGGCGCTGTGTTTTGATGTAGATTAGATTACATTTGTTATTCGTGTTCATTTGTGGCTTTTCAACATTTGATATGTGTAGTAGTGAGTGTTCTGTTTAACAAGCAGGATATTCATGTTGTTAGCAGGCAGATATGACTTTTACATACAGCCACATGAATGGTAATGAATGTGAAACTGTATCAGATTGCATTTCCAAACTGAAGGCATCCGAGTCATCCAACCTTTGCTGCTATTTATTGTCTCATGAACAAAGGAAGACCGCAATCCACTCATAATGCCTGACCACAAAGAACACATTCTACAGGCTGTTGGAGATGTTCCAGGTATGGCACATGTCAAGTGGCTCTAGCATATTCTGCATGGAGGGTACTTTAAGAGCAGCTCCTGTATCCATTTCATTACAATGTCTGCAGGATCTTTCACCCTTTGATCACTGACCACATTTGCCGATGGTTTATTGCACAAACTGCTGATCCGTTGTTTGTCTCTTCAGTCTTGTTTACGGAAAAGGCAACATTTGGAAAAAATGGAATAACAGATTTACACAACTGACATTTGTGAGCGGATTGGAATCCCCATGGTACAATACAGGCTAGACACCAGCGTCAGTTTAAAATTAATGTGTGGGATGAAATTATAGGTGACTCTCTGGTAGGTCTATATGTTTGCCTAGCATGTCTTACAGTAGCTGTCTACAAGGACTTATTTCGAACACATTTTCAGACCTGCTAGAGGATGTACTCCTGCTAATATGAAGACACATGTGGTTCATGCATGATGGGGCTCCAGCACATTTTAGTCACATTGTTTGCAATACACTGGCTGACATTTGAAATGAAACCTGGATAGGTAGGAAAGGACTCCCTAACCCCATCCCTTTGGATTTTTATCTGTAGGACCACCTAAAACAATTGGTTTATGCAGCAGACATTAATAATGCAGAGATGCTTCATCAATGTTTCATGAGGGCCTGTGAAACCATTCAACACTATGTTGGAGTATTTAAAAGGGTCCACCAGTCTATGATCTGATGGTTGCATTCTTGTGTAGAAGCAAAAGGCGGACATTTTGAACATTTGTTATGTGTTTCTGTGTTGAGGTACAACGATGGCTTTTTGGATATATGTTTATATGGACATTTTTACCTTGTTTTGGTGTTAGGAACCCACTCCCAAAGTTTGTAGATGTATTTTTGGACTGTATCTTGAATTGTATTTACTGAAAACTTTAAACTTAACTCAAAAATGAAGGATTTGCTGGCATATGTTTATATGGGCTTTTATCCTTGTTCTGGTATAAGGAACCCACTCCCAAAATTTGTAAAAGTATTTTTGATATACCCTGTATATATATATATATATATATATATATATATATATATATATATATATATATATATGGAATAATGATATATAAATTTTTATATCTTGAACAATTATGGGGAATTGACAAAGTGGAAAAAGATTTTGTGTGACATGTTTCATCATTTAGAACTTCATTGGACAAAGTTTGTTTATGTTGGTGCATCTACAAAATTGCACAAATGAGCAACGTTGGAAAATCTTAATTTTAAATTATTTTTTATTTTTTTATGTGTTTTATGTATATAATCTATCTGATTTTATTTAGATGTTTTTTTTTTGTTTATGTTCCTTTCTCAATTGTTGTGTGATATATACATGTACATTTAGGTAGCAACCTTTCTTTTAAACATTTTTCATTAAATGTGATGGACAAGGAAAATTTCATTAATTTTTTATTTAGTTTTTCTTGTGTTCTTACATTTTTTTTTTTCGTTAGGTGGGAGTGAGGGAGTACAAAAAATGTCAAGGGGTGGTTGTTTTAGTGTTGTTAGTTCCTCTTCATGTTTTGACTGTTTGAGATGTATTTTTTGGTGTTGTTTTGGTTACTAGTAGGAGCATTTATTCTGAGCCTTTGTGTATTGAGTGTGGTTGGAATTTGAGTGAATAAGTGAGTGAGTATCCTTTTTTTTAATTTTTCAGTATGCCACTGCCATTGTTAAACAAGGTCAAATTGATGGTGAGAGAGAGCTGTTTGATGTACCTCTCTTATAATGAGATGTGTTTCAGAAATTTGATTTACATAGAACTCTTGTTTTCAACCAATATTTTCATTTTCCTTAAAGGTTCTTGTAGATGATCTTGATAGATGTGTTTTTTTATTGCACTCTGCTCTGATAAGTGACATATGAGGTGTCTACTGAAAGAGATGGTAGTATATCTGAGATAGGTAATTAATTTATGAAAAAAAACACAATCTTGTACTGGGCAGTAAAATTGATTATGCTATATTGGTCATCACTAGTCTAGATTTGATGGAGTTATTTTGATTAGTGACAACAAGGTTTATGGTTTTCCATTTTCTGTAATATATTATAAGTTTTACATATTTTTCAAGAATTATAGTAAAAATATATATAATGATTTTTTGTTTAGTGAATTTGTTCAGTTTATAATTAATGTACATCTGGTTGTCATAAAATATGCTGATGTTTTGTTGTGTCATATTTTTATTACTGGTGTCATGTACTTTTTGTAAGAATAATTTTAGTTGTTTATCAATGATGTAGTTAGGAAAATTATTGTTGACTAATGTCTCTTTTATGTGATTTAGTTCACTCAGAAATATTCTTTAGGAAGAGGAATTTAGGTATGCTCTATTTAGTAAGTTTTTTATCAGTGCTATTTTATATCTTTCTGGGCATTGACTATCATAATTTAGAAGATAAGAGTTCATGCTGGTGGGTTTTTTTTATACAGGTAGGTGGTAAATGCTTTGGATTTTAGTTCTGCATCGATATCAAGAAATAGGATTTTGTTATGAATCAACAGTTCACATGTAAATTTTAGTGTTTTTATATATATATATATATATATATATATATATATATGTATAGTTTATTACTATAGACATTGTATTTAGTGAGTAGATGTGTTTGAATAGACATCCCACCCGTTTTTATTTTCCTAAACAGTGAAATTAATATATAGTGGCATCGAGAAGTCCCATCCAGTAAAGAAAATAAATCTACTGACAGCAGTTGATGCTGTATTTCCTTTTTCCATCATAGAAACCATTTGTAATCCAGTGTGCTTTACTATTAGGCCACAGGAAGTCATCATAAAACCTAAAACTATGAAACTGATTCATTGTTTTTTTTCTTGAGAATTGTCAACAAAATTTCGAACACTATTTATTTGAACTATCCACCTATTATGAGGGATGAGTGTTCTCTCAAAGAGGCCCTTTACCTCAAATGTCTGTTGAAACTCAAGTTCTCTCTAGACCTCAAGTGGAACTCGGTATATCTGTTGCTAAAGATTCTGGAAAAAGGTTGAATCATTGAACTGTTCCAGTAAGTATCTGACTCCTCCTGCTATATTCTCTCTTTACAAGAGCCAGATCAAACCAAAAATGGAGTATTGCTGCTGTATTTAGGTGAGTGAGAATTGGGCAACTGCAGCTTTTCTTGATAGTTGTGGGTGATGAATTATTTTCCACCCTTTTCATGGCTCTTTTTCCACAGATAAAACAGTGCAAACCTCTTTCTGTTTTATTATTTCTATAGCAAGTGTTCTAAACCATTCCTTGGTTCCACCAACCCTGACATCGGCAACTGGGACCTATCATTCCATGCACATAAGTGTGAATCATCCCTATTCCATTCATATTCCATTAGTAAGAAGTAAGTTCCACTCGGACTGCTTCTCCCCAAGAACTGCTGTTTTGTGGAACAAACTCCAAGCAGGATGTTTTCCCAATAACTACAATCTTGAGCTCTTCAAGTCTAGAATTAACCATTATCTTTTCCTTTCGTATTTCTATAGTAAGAAGTAAGTTCCATTCAGACAGTTTCTTTCCAAGAACTGTTGCTTTGTGGAACAGTTTCCCGGCAGGATGTTTTCCCAATCAATACAATCTTGACCTCTCTAAGCCTAGGGTTAACCGTTATCATTTGTTTTTGTATTCCAATAGTAAGAAGTAAGTTCTATTTGGACATCTTCTTCCCAAGAACTGTTGCTTTGTGGAACAGATTCCTGGAAGGATATCTTCCCAATCACTACAATCTTGACATCTTCAAGTCTCGTGTTAACCATTATCTTTTCATACATAACCTCATTAACTGTACTTTATACACCACCTTATGTTTATACAACAAAACACAGTAACCCTCTATCTTGAGTGACTCTTGAGCCTTGTGTTGGGTGAATATTAGTATATAAAAAAAAGTTTTCTATCTTGATTTTTATCTTTTGTTTCGTTTGTGTGAGTAAGGAGAAGGGAAGTTGTATCCATGTCTTTGTCATATAGGATATAAATGAATGTAATTGTCCATTTATCGAAATAAGCAGTTAAGCAAAGTTGAACAGAGTTAGCCTTAGGTCATTTGCTAACTGTACCTTTGTTTAGTAAACCTTCTATTTCATTACTTACCTACAAGTTTGTCTTCCTTCTTTATTTCCCCACTGTTTTCTAAAAAACATGAGATACAACAGTCTTCGGGCAACAAGTATCAAGTAAATCCCATGGAATTAGGAAAGAGGACATATTTAACGTTTATCATAGAAATCATTAAAGATGACTGAAAGTTAGCTGGAAATAAAATTTTAGTAAAATCTCTTGGTGGGGCCTATAATATTCTGGCTTATCCCCATTCCAATGAGTAACCCTTTCTCACCCCGAAAAAGAGGCCACCTTCTGGATAGGTGCTTGAAAACTTGAATATAAACCTGACCATGTTTACCAAGAGACTCAAATATAATAAAAAACAGATTTTGATATTAAATAACCCAACAAGGGTTGATAGGTCATAAAATCCACCGGCCAAAGTCATTATGTTTTCTGATAAGAACACAACATCAGTCAGAAATAATTATAATGTAATCAAGTAAGTAAAAAGCAAATGGTGTCTGAATTGATTTTCCCTTTGTTGCAAAAAGACCTGCTGCATTCTTTACATTCTTGCCTGTTCATATGAATTAAAAACCAGATAAGCCAATTTCAATCGTTGATTAAATTTATTTCTTTAACAGGCAAAGCCTTTATTCACATGAAAAGTCAAGCATATTTTTAATTTGTGGCACGCTGACAGCTTTCTTTTTCTTTCTTTTCTTTTTTTTTTTTTTCTTTTTTGTTTATACTTGTTGAAGAAATGGCTGGATAGTTAAATTTGGGAATAAAATTTACTTGATTGAATTTCAAAATATGATCAAGCAAATTTTCTTGACAATGAAGGAGACACTCTTCTATTCAAAGTGAAGATTAAAATGATTCCTGCCACCATTTAAGAAACATGTAATTTGCCAAAAAGCTTCATCTCTTTTTAAGCAATATCTTCTTTCAAGTGTTATAGAAATTTGAGGTGTATTTTAGTTGAGCATAAGGCCATATTAAAGGTTGACTCTGATTTAAGCACACAGGCATTAGTTTTGGGGGAAAAAGCTTGTTTGTTATTGCTCTACTGCAACCATTCTTTCTGTCCCACACCCGATCCCATATATTCTTGGTGTCAATCTGCTGACATCCTGTGTATAATGATAAACTACATCCCACAGCAAGGCCTCTGATTGGGATAAGGGCATTTTTTGAGGAGTGTGGAACCCCCTCTTAACTGCTGTTGTTCCCAAGTCCACTCTGACCCAAGGTGGTAGCACCTGTTAGGGTCCCAGCTGGGTGAATAGTGACCCCCCCCTCCAACCAAAAATCAACAGTACATTTTTAAAATAAAATGACCAACAATACATTTTTATAGCAAAATGACAATCAATGAACACTAAAAAAATATAAAAAATAGATTTTTATAGTAAAATTACCAACAATACATTTTATGATCTACAAAATATATATCTAAAAATCATGCCTTTACTCTGAAAGTATGAAATTATGTACAAAACATCTGTAGTTAGAAGTATAAAATTATGTACAAAATATTTAGATTTCAACATTAAATAACCCATGGAGGTGTTGATATGCCACTAACCAAAATCAACTAACCAACAATACATATTTAAATTAAAATGACCAACAATACATTTTATCTGTAGTTGAAGGCATACAACTGCGTTAATTTCGTTAAAGTCTTAAATTGCGTACAAAATATTTAAATTTTGGCATTAAATAACCTATAGAGATGTTGATATGCTATAAAACAAAATCAACCAACGAACCAATCTGCTGTGTTTTTGCGGTCCTCAAAAGGGCGGAAAAAATGTCTTAAGCAGATGTCTGGTTAACTTTTTCATGTGACACACTTGGCTGGTTTTGGGGCGGAAGGGGGGCTTCTCTCCTTCTGCCTCTCAGATATCTGTTTATGTCCCTTAAGACAGGGTTTCAGACTACTAATGCAAAGCTTGGTTTTCAGTTAACATCAAGTCTTTTTTTTTTTTTCATTGGCCCAAATTCTTTTATTTTCCATTGTTCATTTTTTGTGTAGTGAAAGTTGAGTAGAGCCATTCTTATTTTTGGGAGATTGCTAGTAACAATGGCTAGACCCTGGTTCAGAAAACTTTCGCTGTTTTGCAGTCGTGTTCAGTTTTTCTTCTTCTTCCTCTTTTTATTTGAGGGTTGCTTTTTCATTAGTTGAGAAAGAAGTATAGAGGAAGAATGGTAGAAAGAGATGAGGGTTTTAAACGAAAGCAAATGTCTTATTTTAATTTGAATTCTTTTTTTTTTATTTATATATTTTATTTTCATAATTTGTTCTATTTTATTTTTTGGGGGCTCACTACAGTATATTGGAAAGTTTCCAAGTTTTCATTTGAAACCAAGAAAATACAGACTTGAAGCAAAATGATCAAGACATGAAAAAATTAACATGTCTGTTAACCCCATATCCTTCTGATGTCAGTTTAAACTAGGTACCTCTACTAAAATCGTGATGCCTAAGGTCCTGCTTTTGCCTAATTTAAATATGAAGAGGCTGACATTCTAATTTCTTGAAATTTCATAAAATTAAGTAAGTGGGGTATCATGCATAATAAAAAAAAATCTTGATTTTCTTAAAAAATAAATTCAAAAATAATTTCATTCATTTGTGAATAAATTCTGAAAATTTCTTTAAAATCTGACAATTATTTGATTTTTGCAAGAATTTGCAATATGTTTTTTTACTGCAAAAAATGTTCATAGTAATCATTAAGTAATTTTGAAGCACTGCTGATGCCAGGAAAACAAGATTTATAACCAAAATTTCGAATGTGCTAGAACAGATTAAAAAATTTAATAAAATGATCCAAAATACTTTGGTTTTTCCTCTTAATAATAACAAACATTTTGACAATAAAACTTTGTTTTCATCAAGTTTGGGGCCTTTTTTCATTATGCAATGCTCTTTTTTAGTGAAAAAGTGGAGGTACCTAGTTTAAACTAACACCATTTTTTTTTATATATATATATCAAAACTATAATTATAAACTACAGTTTTGTAAAGTGAAACTTTCACTGAAATATATTGGAAAGTCTCCAACTTATTTAAAATCAAAAAAAAAATAGGAACTTTAATCAAAATGTTTACAATATATGGAAAAATGTTGCCAGAAGAATATGGATTAAATTATTGGTTTCAAAGTTAGGATGCTCGTCTCCATTGATAGTTGTATAAAAAAAGAAAAAAAAAACTTCTAATTCCCATGAATGATTTATTTTATGGAAATATTTTGACTAGCAGTTGCCAGTCTTGGTCACTCCTTTAATTTGAGTAAAACAATGTGACAAAACTAGAAACGCTTAAGAATTCAAATCAAAGAAAAAAATCAAGTCGATGACGTTTACAAAGTGACAGCAAGATTTTTGGGGTTTTTTTATGTCTCAACTTTTAACGTCATCAACTTGGTTTTTTTCCTTGATTTTAATTCTTAAGCATTTCTAGTTTCTTTGCACTGTTTTACTCAAAGGAGTGACTAAGGCAAGCAATGGCTAGTCAAAATATTTCTATAAAATAAATCATTCATTGGAACTACAAGTTTTTTCTTTCAAATTATTAGCTTTATACACCATCAGACTCTGCTACTTTTTTCTCTTTTGTAAAACATGTGACTGCCAACCAACCTCATTAAATATGCTATATTTGTTTTATAATCCTTAACTTCAACTCATTATCTTAGATTTAAATTGTTGTTTCTCTCACTTTGCAGGTATTGCATGTCAAGACCTCAATATCCGTCTTCATCTGGCATTTCTTCATTAGTTTCTTGCTGGAACTACTTATACAGTACCTTGGGTCATGGAAGGTAAGAAAACCGATTTCTTTCAAGATATGCAAAGATGGTCCCGTAACTATTCTAAAGAATGCTTTTCTCTTTATGACATATATTGATAGCAGACAAGGAAAAGAAATTACAAAATCTCTTACAGAAGGTAGTGATGGAGAGTGAGAAGAAGGGACTAAGCATAAACTACAAGACAGAATACATAGACATCAGTAAAAGGATGAGTCCAAAATGCAACTTACAGGTTGGGAACACTAGAATCAAGCAAACACAGAAGTTTAAATATCTGGAAAGCATTTTGACAGAGGACAGTAAGTGTGACACTGAGATCCATAGGCATATTAGGATGGCCAAGGACATATTCCAAAAGCTGGGCTGAGTATTGCAAGACAAGAGGATTTCTTTGGTAACAAAGAAAAGAATACTGAACTGTTACATGACATTTGTTTTTCTTTATGGCAGCGAATGTTGAATGATTTCCTCAAAGATGAAGAAGAGACTCAAGGCGCTGGAGATGTGGTTCTATAGAAGGATGCTAAGGACCGAGTGTGTGAGTAATGATGAGGTCTTAGAGAGGATGCAAACAAGGAGGAGGCTTATACTTACCATCAAGAAGAGGCAGCTGAAGTTCCTGGGAAAGGAGGGCCTGGAGAATCTGATACTCACAGGTTGAATAGAGGGAAATAGAGACAAGGGAAAGCAGTGCGTGACATACCTGGCGAGCTTGAGCAGGTGGATGACAGAACATGGTCTGGGGGAGGAAGCAGAGGGAAGGAACTTGTTAAGAGCTGCAAGGGATAGAGGGAGGTGGAGAGCCATGATTGCCTATGTCTTGAAAGGACATGGTGCATAAAAAGAATTTTGGCATGACCTTTTTTTTTAGCATCACTGAAAATACATTTTTATCATAAAATTACCAACAACACATTTTATAATTTATGCTATTTACAGGGTGATCCAAAAGTTTTGTCACCCCTTTACCAGTCTCATCCCCTTCAGAGGAGCTGGATTGCCAAATCTTCCACTGAAGTCAAGTCGCACATCCTCCATGTTCTTGCTAGAATGCACACAATCATGTCTCCATACACTTGCAATCAGCCTCTCTTCCAGACTGTAGGAGCTCGTGTCAGCCATCTAAGATAGAAAATTATACTATGTATGGAGTGACAAGACTTTTGAACCAACCTGTACATTGTTCAGACTGTTGTTCTCATCTTTGTCACCATATTCATGTTTTGGCTGTTGTATGCTTCTTAAGGTGACTGAAATTTCAAACCGAACCCTTTATTTTGTCCACTAGGGTAGATTGTTCTAGTTTCACATGCCATGCCTCTTCCAGAGGTCTCAGTTTCCTCCCTTTAACTCAACTCTCCAAGTTTTTGTTCACCTCTGCAGTAACCAGGTATTGAACTCACAACTTTTTGGATCAAATGACTGTGTTAATCCACTGGGCTATGTGTCCTAAAGAGTTCAGTTTGAAATTTCAATCATCTGAATAAGGCCGTATAAAGAGAAAATGTATTAAATAATTGTGGGACTTAATCCATTTCATTATATATATATATATATATATATATATATATATATAAATGTGTGTGTGTGTTTTAAAATAGAATATAGAATGCTGACAAATTTTTTTAAGAAACATAACAAATTGGAAAAACGTTTTATTGAAACTAAATTTGATTATGTGTTTCAACTCTCTTGGCTTCATCAGATCCAAAAAGCGAAAGAAAGAAGTGTGTATGTGTGTTTAATGAATTGTAGTACTTTTTACCTTAAGTTGACATTTCTTGAGAAGAAAGAAAGTGAGTGACTTTTAAAAAAGCCACTAATATTTATCCTGCACCTTTTCTTTATAATTCTTAGTTCATATGTATGGGAAAACGATATATAAATTTTTATAGATCAAGAATAATTGTCGGAAAATCTGACAAAGTGAAAAAAACTTTTTTATGTGACACGTTTTGGTCTTTAGGACTTCACCAGATGAAAGTGATATTTATATTGATGTGGTTACACATGAGCATGAAGACTAGTGGGTGCTGAAATTTTAAACTTCTAAATTTAATTTAGCCTTCAGCATTAACAAAAATGCAGTAACATGTTTTCCAGCCATCAAACATCATAGAAAGTACTGAGAAGAGTATATGGCTAAACATTCTGGATTTGGGGTTAGAATTAAGAACAGTAATTAATTTATCAAGGGGGCCCCAAAGGTCTTGCACGTCAGAAAATGGGATTGGCAGTGTTTAAATTCCTTTATGAATTTGTAAAAAAATCTAATAGGGCGATAATTTTGAGGGGTCAGAAGATTCAGCAGAGTTCTTAAAAACAGGAATGACAGAGGTAGATTTTCAACAAGCTAGAAAGCAATAAGCAACAAAGAATGAGTTTGGAAAGAACATGATTCTAAGGAGCACATTTCCTAAGAACAATTGCAGAGTTACTGTCAATTCCACAGACCTTAGGGGGTCTAGTTTGGAAATGATAGCATTAAAGTGATTCAATTGAATCAATTGCCAGATCTGCTGCTTGGAAAATTAGTTCATGGTGTCATACCAGACATTTTTTTTCATTAGAAACCATCTTAGACATGTTTAAATCTACCCTTCGTCCATACATTGAATATTGTTGCCATATCTGGTCTGATACTCCTGTTATACATCTTGAGATTCTCAACAAAATTAAAAAAGGTTTTGTAATGTTATTGGTCTTGACCTGGCATCTTGACTTTCGTCATTATTCCACTACCTTGATGTGGCTTCTATCTGTCTTTTCTATAAATATTTTCATGGCAGTCATTCTAATGAACACTTCTGTTGTAGCCTGTTAGGGGCCAGAAAGAAAGACACGGAAAGAAGAAAGTAGGTTGAACAAGTGTATTGAAATAATAGAACATATATATAAAATAAGAGTGTTATTAGTCAGCAGATAGAAGTGTCCATCCAAACTATCAGGTTTGCCTTCGAAAGTCTCACAGGTTAGTATTTATGAAGGAGGAAAGAGTTCATTCTAATGTAGATAGGTCACCATAACAACTTCTCCTTGGTACAAATGTCAGTAGAAACAGGGAATGGTAGAATTTTATTGAGCGTTCTTTTAATGTTGCTGTTCAGTGTGTATACTATGGTTGTTACCGAGTGGCAAAATGGATGTCATATTTTTTGGCTCAAAGGAGGCCATGTAAAGTAAAATTCTTATAGCTGCCATATCTGGTCTGATACTCCTGCTATACATTATGAGATTCTCAACAAAATTCAAAAAAGGTTCTGTAATGTTATTGGTCCTGACCTGGCATCTCAACTTCAGTCATTATTCCACTGCTGTGACATGGCTTCCCTCTGTCTTTTCTATGAATATTTTCAAGGCAATTGTTCTAATGAGCTTACCATGACCAGATGAATTCAAGCATATTACTAGATTGGCAACTAGGTCTCATTGATTTGTTGAAATAGCTAGATGGAATCGTAATTTCTATTCTAAGAGTTTCTTTTCTCACCTTTAGAATTTTATTCTGGTTTCTTGCTTCCCTGCCACCTACAATCTTCAAAAACCCCAATTGTCATCTTCTGTCTTCCTGAATCATTTTCCTTTATTGTCCATTCTCCTCACTGAAGTCTTTCATTCTCTTTCCTTTCCAGTAACCCCTTATGTCTTAGTGTCATTATCACCTTGCTGGGAATAAAATGATTTTTAAAAAAAAGAGAATTAATCGGTCAACATATAAATTTATATCCTCATTATTCAGTCACGGAAATATTTTCCTTTGTCTTTCTATGACCATATACCACCTTTCAGCTAAATTGTGTCTTCCTTCATAAAAGAATGGATAATGAGATGGACAAAGGTACTCAAATTGAAACATTACAAAGATTGGACAGTTTTTCCACACTTTTGATCCAGATGTATTGTTCATCCTGGGGAGCTTTTGGGTAACGGGGTCAATTCCATAATAATGTTGCATCCTCTTTTTCATGGCCAGTGATCGCTAGTTGTCTTGATTCTAGATGAAAGAACTTCAACATGGAATTTTAAACTTAATTAGTTTATTAACATTGAGAATATATTTTCTAACTAGTCAGAGGGTTTGCTCTTCCACTACAGGGAAGCCATTTCAGATTCAAAAGTCAACACATCTATATTGCTTGATGGTTAAGAAACAACTCCTTGAAAAACCTTTCTATATCTCTATCATTCCCATGCTTGTTCAGCCAACCAAAATCAACTTCCTTGTTTTATCCTCTATCTGATGCCTGAGGTCAACCTCAGGAAGTCTGAGCAGAGATACACTTCTCTAAAAAATAAGTTTGCTAAACAGTATGATAACTGGAAAAATAGAATGAAAGCTTAAACGAACAGACCTTGTCTGTTGAATCTAACAAAACTTTGAACTCTAGATGCATAAATATAAGTTACTTAAACAAAAATTGTATACGGTGGCTTGTTGAAGATGTGTGAATGCTAATATGTTTGGGTAAATACTTGGTTGCCATTATGTTGCAGAAATCAACACTTTGGATAGATAATATTTACAGGCTCCTGGACAATTTATCCCACAAACAATATTGGCAGACTCGGTGTGAGTTCAGGTAAAAATGAGTAATGCTAAGCAATAAATATAAAACAAACGACAATGCATATATTTACAAAAGGAATTACATGACCTAATCTGAGGAAAAAATAGAAATCAATTATATCCTGTCACTCCAGTGGATCTAAAACTGACTGAATAGTGAAAGAAAAGAAACTAAAGCAGTTGTTTTGATTAATTTGAACAAGGTTGTATGTGTGCATAACAAGTGTGCATGAGAGAGTATAAAATTTTGTTTTCTGGCAGTGTTGTCTGCTGGAACCAAATATTTTTTTTTTTTTGTTTGTTTTTTTTTTTTCACTTATCAGAAAAATAATTCTGACTTCTCAGTGAAATGGAAAAGAAAAACTTTTTTTTTATTTATTTATTTTCAGCATTGATCCATTGAACCAAGAAATCGCTCTTACCATTCTTGGCTACCAACCTCCATTTTCAACCATGGACTTTGAGGCAATCACAAGTAATTATAATTTAATCAAGTAAGTAAGAAAAATGGCATCCGAATTGATTTTCCCTTTTCTTGCAAAAATACATGCTGCATTTTATAAATATAAATTTACAAATACCCTCTGACAGCTAAGTCCAGTTTCAGTGAATGGGCAAAACCAGAAAACTGGCTCATTCTGGGTATGACAATAAACTACATCCGCATCCTGGGTAAGACAATTAACTACATCCAACAGCAAGGCCTCTGATCAGGAGGTTTTGAGGAGCGTAGAACCATCTCATAATTGCTTGTGTTCCCAGGTCTACCCTGACCCAGAGTGGTAGCACCTGTTAGGGTCCCAACTACAGGCAAATAGTTAACCCCATACTGGGCTCAAAAGACTATGAAAGTGTAAAAATAGGTTTTAATACCAGCAATATCTTTTTGTAAAAATTATTACCAGCAATGAATTTTTGAAGAAAAAAAAATATTACCAGCAATACATTTTTGGAAAAATAAATATTACTAACAATAAAAATCTTGTCAGCATTAAATAACTCATTGAGGTTGATATTCCGTAAAACAAACCAGACCAAGCCAGAAAACGGGCACCTTATAACCAGTTGCTTCTTGTTGATGGAGCTCGATGTCCCAGGAAGGCAGTCCATCTAGAGGAAGGAAACCACTGATTTTAAGTCTACACTTTCTGGCAACTCCTGCCACCAAACCGGCACCAAATGTAATGCCCTGTATTCATTTGGATCTTGTCAGTACAGCCGAGATGGAGAAGGGGGGGGCATGTAGTCTGGGCAGCACACAGCCTCTATATACCATCTCAAATCCTTAAAAAGGGAAAATTCTGAATTCATACCATCTGCTGCCTTGTAGGTATGCCTCTTTATCTCTGAGAGGAGGAATGGGGTAACCTAAATGTCCCCAATGCAAAAGGAATTGTCAAACCATTGCACTATATTGGTTTACCCTCTCACACACACACACACATATGTGTGTGTATATATATATATATATATATATATATATATATATATATATATAATAGCTGGCTATATGTACTTGAGGATGCTCGTCAGATGCTTTGTTCAAACTCACCTGTGGTTTCTACTGCAGCTATGCTGAGCAGACCATAGTTACAGTTTCTGGAAGAGAGCATGTTAACTAGCATGATCAACAATTTGAACAAGACCAGCACGCTCAAGCCCTCGTGGCTTTGTGCTAGCACAGCTATTGATGTCTCTCAAGAGTTCTGTCTACCAGTTTCACTCAAAAGGCTTGGATCGACCTGTGGTATAGTTTTCAGGCACTTTCCAAAGGTGCCACACACTGGCATTGACCTCGATCCATTCCAATCTTCTTCCTAACAAATTGACCTTGGAGAGATTCAAACCCGGGTCTCATGGTCAGAAAGCGAACATTCTAACCACTTGGCCATGTGCATAATATATATATATATATATATATATATATATATATGAATTTCCAAATGTCAAGCAAATCATTTTTGAGGGTACAATGTTCAGTCCTATGCTAAGATTAAAATAATTCTTGCTGCCTTTTCAGAAAGGCATGTAATATACCAAAAAGCTCAATATATATAATATTATATAATACATATATATTATAGGTATGCCAGAGAGACCATTGAAAGTAGAAGACAAACCCCTGAACTATGTAAAATCTTTCACCTATCTTTGTAGCAAAGTCAATTACAGTGGAAAACAATGAAAACATGCATCGGATTGCTAAGGCAAATGGTTTTTTGTTTTGCATTTAACATCATCACTTAATAAGGCACCGGGAGTGTTGAAACAAAATGGCTATTTTTGTAGTGATTTTATAACATGTTTATGTTATAAATTTTCTAAATAAATAATTATATCTGCTCTACTTTGTATTGAGCACTCTTTTAAGAATAGTAATTGTTGGTTATTGGAATTCATTCCGTATACACCAATTATATACTTGTGTGTGTATATATATATATATATATATATATATATATATATATATTATAAGTTTGGGCAGTTGAACATTTGAACAAAAATTACTCAGTTGAATTTCCAAATGTCAAGCAAATCATTTTTGAGGGTACAATGTTCAGTCCTATGCTAAGATTAAAATAATTCTTGCTGCCTTTTCAGAAAGGTGTGTAATATACCAAAAAGCTCAATTTTCCTTTGAGAAGTATCTTTTTTCAAGCTTTTTAGAAATTTACGATGTGCATTTTAATTAGGCACAAGGCCATATTTGAGTGTCACTCAGTGAAAATAAAACGCACATGCCTTAGCAAAATTTTAATCTTTTTTAATCCAAGGGAGTTAACTTTGAACATTCCTTCTATTACTTCTTCACTTATTTTTCAGATTAAAAATTAAAATATATTGAAGATTTCTAAGAATTACCACCCTTTACAGTTTAACTTTCAGACCAATTTTTTGGCAATAATGATTTTGAAATTGTTCATGTTGGATTAGTAGAATAAATAACAAATTTGTTTTATAGAATTTAAAGGACATTTTCGACTAGCTGTTTATATAATTCATTATATTATTACATATACTTTTGAGGTATTGTTGTAGTAAAGAAAAGACTGTCAACTGATAGTAGCAACTGCAATAGATTTCTTGTTTCTCGGCCGCAACACTTGTAGTCAAATCGCAGTTCACACGATAGTCCGACATAACAGTCCAATACACACCATAGAAATGACAAAATGGGGTCACAAATCCAACCTTCACTTCTCGCCAACAACAACGCGTATTCATTTTTTCAGCTTAAAAAAATCATCTCCTTTTATAAGTGAAAAACAACGACTTCTGTTCACCAAGAGAATTTTCTGATTGATCACGCCATTTAGGGGAGGGAAGAACGTTAGCATAGCTTCTAGTCATTGATGTAGATTTTGTTGACTACTTTTTGGTAATTTTTCTTCGGCAGATCGCACACAAAACACAAACTTTTTTTTTTTTCAGGGTAACTGATTATCTCTTTCACTACATGTATTTAAGAAATCCTATCTTTCCTATGAAAATACACATAACAATGTAATAAATGCTAACAAGTAGCAAATTTCTATCATGAATCTAATGTGAATAATTCAAAAAGTTATTTTATTAACACCTTTCTAAAAAGAGTAACTTCTGAGACTTGCCTAGAAGGTAGGCAGGGTTTTTTTTTTTTAACCCCAGAAGACTCTGTAATAGTCTGCTTTTGAGGTGAGTGTTGATCAATTTCATTGACAAACATTTACGATGGGATGAATATTGACATTATTTGATCATTCCATTGCAACTTTTTTAATGCTTAGTTTGTTTGCAGTGCATTGGCAATTAGGAAGGAGGGATTGTCATTGGTCAGGAATGAATTCAAGCATTACTGATAGAATAGGACTATTATATGCATAATGTAAATGCATTGCTAATGATTTTACTATAAAAATGCATTGGAAATTTGGAAGAAAGGGATTGTCATTGGTCAGGAATGAATGCAAGTATTACTGATAGAATAGGGCTATTATATGCATAATGTAAATCCATTGCTAATGATTTTACTATAAAAATGCATTGAAAATCATGAAGAAAGGGATTGTCAGTGGTCAGGAATGAATGCAAGCATTATGAACAGACTGCAGTTATATGTCCAATGTAAATAGATTTCAAATAAAAAAGAAATAAAAATGCATTGAAAGTCAGAAATAAGATTATTGTCAATGATCATGAATTGATCTAAGTGTTACTGACAGAACAGGGCTATGTACAATAATAATAAAAAAAACAAAATAAATGAATAGAAGGAAATTCCCACTCAATAATTCCATTTCTAAATGTGCTTTCATTCTGATTCAATTTTTTTGTTGTTTTTAATCATCGATGTTCTCTTTTGCAGATGGTTTGAGAAGCTTAATGACCACTTTGAAGTGGCTGGACGGGGTGGTTTAATGTACAAACCCAATGGAAGGAACCAAACTGAGATAGATGCTGACCATGCCCTTCAGTTGCTTAAAAAAGGCATCAAGAATGAATACTACACATTTATTTATCACTGTGAACGACATTACTTTTGTCCGCTTGGATATGAAGATGTGCCTGTGAAGCCAACAGATGCCTATAGGTGAAGATTTTCTCTTTTCACTGGAGGTTTTTGCAAGTAGCCCACAAAATTCAGATCAAAGTCATCATTAAATTCTGTTTCAGGCAACACTGGCCTTCCATAGATTTTTATATTTTTGTCGCCTCCTTTTCGACCGGCTGGCCAATGTCCAATTCCTGCGGCTGATCATTGAGTTGATTGCTTTGATCCAAACCTTGCCTTATCCCACATTGTGTTTAGTTTTGATCATAAGGCAGGTAAAAGATCGAATTGTCATTGGGAATCATTGTATTGGGTTAGTCCATGCAGAGTGAAGACGCAAGTGAGAAAAAATATCTTTAATAAAAATAAGTGCTTTTATATACGTTCTTTTTGCACAGTGCTTGGTTAATCCTGATGTTAGAATTTATCAATTTTTCATGCAGAAAATTATCAACCCAACCTGCTTCTTAAGTTGAGTGTGAAACTTCAGCTGGTTTGGTTAAGTCTGGCACAAGGTTTATGTCAGAGGTTCTCTTCAGGCAGGCAGTCACATGATATCAGGCAATTTAGTCATCTCTCATCTCAGCATCTGTAACACCTGTTTTAGCCGCTTCGATTCCTTGCATCTATTGACATTCACCTAAAATCAGTGTGGGTCATAACAGAGTTAGAGAACTTGGTGTTTCCCCTACCTTCCAACAAGAGCCCTTTTGTTGTCTGGTTCTGGAACATCAATTACATCTCCAAAATCAAGGAGATCCCCTTTTCCTATGGGCAATGGTTACAGTTATTGATCCACTCCAATAACTTCTTTCTCTTATTGGCATCCCACACTAATACTTCCCAATGGGCGTGGACAATTCCTCCACCTTCCTTGGTATTTCACCTGTGCTTATCACCTTGGCTACTCCTTGACCAATCTAGCTCCCAATTGTTTGGCCTGGCTTAATTTATGGTCATTAATTAAAAAAATTATTTCAAATTTTGCTTATGTAAAATTTTCCCATCCTGGTCTTGTCCAAAATCATATATTTACCAGATGGTTCTTCTGTCAGCCATTTCCCCAATCGTGTCAAGGTCATTGCACTCCAACCACAAGGAAACTCTATTCTCAAGTTTTGATTACGGATCTAATATTATCCTTCCAACTTATTCTGTGTTTTCATAACTGGTACTTTGGAGATGGGTCATTAATCAGCTGTCAGGTTAAAGATCACCACATGGCTTCTTGTAGTAATATCGTGTTTCCTTAAGTAATTCTTCTGGTTTTAGAGAATTAAGCTTTTTTTTTTTTTTCTTGAAAAGGTAAATCTTCATTCTTTCTCTTTCTCATTCTATTCATTAATCCTTTCTTTCTATTTACCAGTGCCAAATAGTGTCACATTTTGGGACTGTCAAGAAACAAGTAAAAAAAAAAAAATAGTAAAATGCAAAACATTTATGTCTGCTGTTTAACTTTTTTCTTGAAGCAATACATTATTTTCTTGATCATTGGGTTGGGATAAAAAGCAACAATAATAAGATGGAATAATAGTAATAATGAAGAGTGTATAGAGCCAGAGTGTTGGGATAAAAAGCAACAATAAGATGGAATCAAACTACTATTAGTACAAATAATAAATCAAGATATTGTGGGGTTTCAACAACCAAACAGTCTACATCCTAGAGGCCAACAAACCAGACATCACCATCATTGAGAAAGAAACAAAATGGCTTCTCATTCACTTCACTGTTCCTCATGACCATAATGTCCTGGTCAAAGAGATTGACATTCTTAAGAAATACACTGCACTTCAGATTGCAGTTGCCAGAATGTGGCACATTCAGACTACTATTGTCCCAGTTATCATTGGGGTGTTTAGGGTCTGTGACACCAAACTTTGTATCCTATCGCTCCAGAAGTCTACATTGCTTGACACAGCAAATATTCTGTGAAAGATGCTATCAGTCTGAAGTCATATGACTTGGTGCAAAATACTGATAATTCAAGATCTACAATTGAAAAAAAAATAAATAAATAATTGGTGAAAGAGATTATATATATTTTTTACATTATTCAGACTGTTATCATCATTTTCATATTTACAATGCTCCAGCCTTCTTCATATGATTGGAATTTCAAACCGAACCCTTTATTTCGTTCAACAGATGTCTCAGTTATTTCCCTTTAACTCAACTCTTCAAGTTCGCCACTGCTGTAGCCTGGTATTGAACTCAAAACTCTTTGGGTCTAGTCACTGGATTTAACCAACACCTTTATTCACTTGGCCATGTGTTCTTGAGGACATCTGTGTATGAATTGAATGTCACATGAACTGTTTTTAACAGTGCTCATATTGCAATTTTTGTCATCATTATTCCAATTTTTTACCAGAGCTTATATTGCAATTTTTGTTGTTATTCATTGCTTTTCTCTAGCACTCCATATTACTGGTTCCCATATTGTATCTATTTCTATGCTTGGCCAGCTTAGGAGATTTTTGTGGCTTAGCATATGTGCTGATTCCTTAAGTTTTCGTATTTTCCAGTGATGTTCTCTGTCTATTATTTCAACCTCATCCCACTTCTGGGGGCGATGATCTCCCTTTTCCCTCCATATTTTTCTATTTCCCCTTGTGTTACTGCTTTACGATGTGCTTGTAGTCTTACCTTAAGGTGTGTGTGTGTGTGGGGGGCTGTTTCTCCTTTGTAATTCTTACCATTATTTTAATTGGATTAATTAAAAGCAAAATGAAAAACTAAAGATATTAAGTGAATCTCTTCTTATGAGTCAATTGTGTGATTAATTATGAAAGCATTTTTGTTTTCACAGTGGAGAACTCGGTTCATCTGACTATGAAACCTGGGTCATACTTGGAGACACAAGCAGTAAACACCCTGGATTGCAGTGCAAAAGGTAAACAGTTTTTCCCACTTCCAATGGTTTTTATCAAATGAAAAACCAGACTCATTAACAAAGATTTTTAAACAGATCTTGTAAATCTATGTAAACCCGGTGTTCAACTGGAAAGATAAATTATGAGACTGGCTGCTGAAAAGTTGAAGCAATTCAAAGACGACTCGAGATGTGATAAACTTAGTAACTATTTTATTCAAACTGCTTCTTGATCCGTGTTGCTCCCAGCCTTTCTCTAATAAAACTGGAACTGCTACAATCTCTATAAATTATCTCCCTTCCTGAGATAATTTATTATCTTTATTAATTTATTTCAAACTTTTCCAAATTACAACTCAAAGAAAATAAATCACCTTAAGGGGAGAAGTTTATAACACTATCAATAATGTTGATTATATAGATTGTTAGCACTTCTGGTTCTACTAGAGAAGGCTTACAATCATCATAATCAATGTTATTGACGCTCTTATAAACACCTGGGTTCATATATATATATATATATATATATATATATATATATATATATATATATGAGTTTCTATGAGGACTGTGCCCCAATGAGCCACAACTACTATCCCCAAGCCACTTCATCCAGAGCATTAGAAGCCGGTTCAAGCAAGGATATACGAGTGATAGAAATTAAGAAGATAATTATAATTAAGTAATTCATTGAGTCTAGAAGAAATCTCAACAGAATGCAGAAAGCACTGCACGACCGTTTCGTCCTATATTTGGGACTCATCAGCAGTGCGCATCCACTACTGAGAATTGAAAACTCTGGCTAGTGGGGGCACAGTCCTATGGATAGAAGAGAAACTCGGATGAGATCCACCACAGAATATGTGATCGAGCGGCGCTATATTGAGTCTGAGACCCATTGGAACAGTTTGTAGGACATTTGCCTGATAACATAACTGTCCAGGTTTCAATTCTTGGTAGTGTATGCGCACTTCAACTTCTGATGAGTCCCAAATATAGGACGAAATGGACTTCCAGTGCTTTCTGCATTCTGTTGAGGTTTCTTCTAGACTCGATAAATTACTTAAATATATATCAGTCTACTTAATTATATATATATTAGTATACTTAAAAGCTCTACATGTTAAATTTTTATTTTTTTATATGTGTATTGAACGCTTTTTTAATACCACTGTTTCCTGGTATAATTCAACTTTGACCATTAACTTTATAAATATATATATATATATATATATATATATATAAAACCAGTTTGAAACTTATCATTTTGGGGATTTTAATGTTTGCAGACACTTGTTGCCTTTTATTTATACATATATTTTATTCTTACTTTTAACTGAATGTATTGATTTTTATGGACCTATCTAGAGTTATAGGAATGTTTTATTTTATAAACATGGTCAGCACATTGTGGCCATGTTCATAGTTTGCTTCTATTGATAAAATCACAAGAAAAAGAAAAAAAAGAAAAAGTATACATAGGAGTAACTGAAGGACTCTGGAAACAAGGAAATTATATACATAAAACATCTTTCACAAATAATAAATACGTGCACAGCACAATGCTTTCCAAGTATATCTGGGAAATTAAAAACAAAACACAAATCACACCAAAAATATCATCAGCCTACAACAATCAAAAACCTGCAAACTTTGTTTGTAGGAAAAAATAGCTATTATTACCTTCGCAGAACAAAATAAATTACTAAATAAATGATCTGAGCTCATCTCAAAATGCAGACATAAAAACAAATTTTTACTGCGTTACTTAAAAATTGAAAACTTAAATGAATAAATACAAATAAACAAAATAATATAAAAAAACAAGTAAAATAAATTAATCCAAACAAATAATAAACAAATTAACAAACCACTTCCATTAGAATAGACGAAATAGAATAAATAAAAATAAAAATAGAATGCATAAAAAACAAGTAAAAATAATAAACCCAAATAAATAAACAAATTAAATGATAAATTAACAAACCAATCCTGCTAAAATAACCATTAGAATAGACTACAACAAACAATCCAAAAATTGGACGTAAAAATAGCTATAACTGCTATATAACAATAAAAAAACATTACTACATTACTCAAAAATCGAAAACCAAATAGAGTAAATAAAAATATACAAAATAAAAAATAAGTAAATAAAAAACAAATAAAAATTAATCCAAATAAATGAACAAATTAACAAATTGCCCCCACATTAGTTCATTAGAACTAATAAAGATAAGCATAAATAAACAAAAACAAGTAAAAATAATCAATCCAAATAAGTAAATTAATTACCCCCCCCCAAAATAACATAATAGACTCCAGCAAGCAATCTAAACATTGGACGAATAAATGCCTTTAATTATCTTCCCAGACCAAAACAAATTATTAAATAATTGACCTAAGCAAATCCACCCCCAATTTTTTTTACTACGTTAATAAAACATCAAAAACCAAAAAAAATAAATAATACAAAATGGAAGTGGGAAAACAAGTAAAATAAATTAACCAAAACAAATAAATAAATAAATAGACAAACAAGCCACTCCTGCAAAAATTACCACCAAAATAGATTACCCACAATGCACCACTGAGACCTATATATAAACAGCTGGAGAAAATCCAACATTCATGGCCTGACGATTGTGTCTAACATAAAACAGCCTGAGTGTTGACTTCAATGTTCACTGATATATATATATATATATATATATATATGTGTGTGTGTGTGTATGTATGTGAATTATGTGTTGATAAAATTCAATACGCCATATATCATATGGGGTATTGAATTTTATATACATGTAATTCATATATGCTCTATAATAAATATATTGAGCTCTCTTTTGTGGATCATTTTTAATATTTTATATTACTAGGATTCACTTGGATTACTTATGACGGATTTTTACCTCTGTGTGTATGCGTATGTGTGTGTGTGTATATATATCCACATATGAGTCTGTTTTGCTGTATCACAGCTCATCAGTGTGGCTAGACATCCAATTGCTTCAAGCTGGGATCGAAACTCAACCGATTTGGCATCAGAGATTCTACCCCTAAGCACAACAGAGAAAAGGGAATCTTTTAATGTATTATATACATGATGTACACAAATGCCAAATCAGTAGCTAAGAGCGCTCATTTCCTAACTGAAGAGTGATATATTAGTAGCAGGAGCAGCCAGCGTTTTTTTTAAAATTAACTTTTCTCCAGAGTTCTCGGGTAATGAGAGCATAAATGTGAATAAAGTAGACAATTGGAGAATAGGATTTGATCCTTGCTTGGTCATATTTCGTCATTTGACTTTATTAAAGCATGTGATGATAAACAAATGCAAAATTTTGTGTAGTTACATGAAATTAAAAAATTTTAAAAGACACTCCTGTGAACGTCTCTTTTGGATATTAATGACTTTTTTCCTTTTTCTTCTTTTTTTTTTTTTTTTTTTTTTTTTTTCGGCTGAGAGTGTGTTTTTTTTTTTTTTTTACTACTGTTTCTCATGCAAAATATTCATAATTTAGCAAAATATATTGTAGACAGACAAATCCAAATTTGAACTTTTCGTTAGTAATAGGAGCCTGGAGAAAGACTGAAAAATAAAAGCAAATACAATGTACTTACTGAAATTTTATCTTTTACTTTAATGAAAAAAATAAAACCTCATTTCAAGGTGTGTGTTTCTTTTTTTTTTTTTCTTTTTTTTTTTAGTCCTAAGAAATGTAATGTGGCCCCAAAACCTGTAAACATTTTTTCTCTCGTGAAAACTTTTTGACTCTTTAAATTTGAGAGGATTTTTGTTAATATTGGTGTTTATCTGTTTTTTTTTTTTTCTTTCTCCTCTAGATGGGATGATGTTCTCATGGATCTGAATTGCAGTGATCCCGAATTCCTTGATATCCGCCGACTCGAAAGAGGCATCCGTCAGCGGAAAGGTCGTCGGAAATCCTATGACATCAATGACCATTGTATCTTGACGTTCCAGAAGTGCCAGAGTGAGGAAGATGAAGTGGAAGAAAATTCGCCACTACAGGAAATAATTGAAATAAGCGATGACGAGGGAGGACAGTGCCTGATCACAAACGTTCGCCCCCCCTTGGCGATGAGGGAGGTCGACCGTTTGGACAAAGAAGAGGAGGAATTACTCGAAGACGATATGGATGAAGATGAGAACTGTGATAATATTTTGGGTGATAAGCCCTGTTCAGTGACTGAAAACACACTGACAGACTCTGATGAGTACGAAGAAAGCCCATCGGATGATTCATAAAAGATGACTTGCATGAAAAAATAAAAAAAAGAAAATACGACCAAATTGGCCCCGGAAGTTGTGGTGTCCTGAAACCAAAATGGTTGATTTTTAGAGAAATGGCATTACTCATTCTTTAAGCTGAAGATATTTTCTTTCATACTCTGGGCCGTAAAAAGAAATATTAGTGCTTATTTCCGATTAGCAAGGTCAAGTTAAAATATAAAAAATTCTGATAATGGGTCCAGTTCATAACAGTGAATGTTATTTGCCCGTAAACTGTCTTCACTGAACCTGTTAAAATCAAATCTTCATTTTGACAAAAAAAAAAATCAGAAGTTAGAAAATTAAAGGGAGATAACTTTTATATTTGATGTTTTCTTCTTAAATTATGATTGTTGCTTATTTATCAAAATGAATGACTGACAATTAAGTCGGTTGGTTTGAGAGAATTCTTTAATGTTGCAATCAGTTAAAGCCAAGAAATTGTCCCTTTTTTTTTTCTTCGGGCAACGGAAATAAAAATATAAATAAAAAAAAACAATCAAAATATAAATATTAAAATAAATAAAAATAATGTGAATTAATACAGGAGACATTTTAAAATTATTTTTAAGCATGTATTTTGGATATAGGACACATATTTAAATGGGTTTGTTTTTCGTCATTTTTACTCGTTTTTAAATATTCCTAGAATAAAACCAAAATATTAAGCAACATTGTTATATGAAAAAAAAACAAAAAACTTCGGTGATGAAGATGGAAAAAAAAGGTAAAAAAAATAAACAATTTTCAAATGCCACATAATTAGGAAAAAAAAGCCTTATTAAGATAGAAAAGTTATTTCCCTTTAATTTTCTAACTTTCTTTCGTTGAAGTGAAGATTCAGTTAAAATGGTTTCAGTGAAGCCAGTTGTCAAGCAAATAACACTCGCCGTTATGAGTACCTCTGGAATTATCATGAATTTATTTAAAGTGACTTTTTTTTTGTTTAGTGAGCTTTTAAAATCTAACAAGAATCAATGAGAAATGTTTGAACCTGTTTATCGTGAAAAATAAAATCATTTGTAATCAACTAAGAAATTCTCAGAACAAAAACGGTTCATTGTGAGACTGCATGTCTATCTTTTGAAAAGAAATTTATTCATTTCTAATTAGTGTTTCAATTAATTGATTTTAGATTTACAGTCCTATGCCCACACTGAAAACATTCATTTTAGTTTTGAAAGAAGACAATCTCTTAAAATTAAAACTTGGCTTTCTAAATAAAAAAAATCTGGACTTGCTGTTTTAGCTTTTTCTCCCGTTCGTTGTTAGTAATGGTCGTCACCAATGCAGCACTCGAGATTGAACCACAGACCTTTCATCTCTCTTCTCAATGACTGAAACTTGCCTAAAAGTGAACAAGATTTATTATATAACCATTTCGTGTCTTTGGGAAGATGGAAGAAAAATACAAATTATCAATGAAAAGTTTTATTCCTGAGTTTAACCAGAATGCCGAAAGTGGTAAAATGGTTTCCCTCACTCCTCAGAAAGTATTTGTTATTAATGATGTAATAAACTATATTTTAATTGAAAACTATTTACTTATATGCTGTCATCCTAGAATAAAAAAAGAAGGTATTGTTTTGATAGAGTTGTAGTTCAAGTAATGGTATCTTTACTTTCAAAGTTGGGTTATATTTGTTGAAAAAAAAAAAAGAATTAAGATGGCTTTTAATATGTTTAAAATCTTTAAGCAAAAATAAATATTAAAAAAAAACAAAACTTTTTACTCCATCTAAGGTTTCCAAAAACAGTTTATTTTAAATTAGTTTAACTATAAAATAAAAATACGACCACATATTTCAAGTTCTTAAAGATTAAATTTTTAGATGCGAGTCTTTTAAATATAAGCCTAGTCAGTACCTGGATGGTAGGCTGAGAATACCAGATCCCGGGATACGTGGGTGGTGTAATATAAGGGAAATAGAAATTGGAGTGCCATGTTCCAATTCCATTCGGATTTGCTATATTTACTTGCATACAAATACCCTTTGGAAACAATATAGATTTGCCTCTTCTCTCCAGCTATGGGTTAATTAGTAGGATTTGTATCTGTAAATTATTATTATCCCCCCAATATAAAACTATTTTCTGGCTTTAAATAACCTGCAAAACGTTAAGTCGTTAAAAAAAATAATCAGTTTTTAAATATATTTTCAAGTTTTATTAATTCTTGTCAAGAGGGATCAGTTTATTACTTAACTGCAATAGAAAACTGATTCCCCACTTTGTCTAATAGATTCTTAATATTTTTTTTTATCGAAAACGGTGGTAAATTTTGTTAAGTTCTTAGTTTTATTTATGTTTCCCTTCCTTCCCAGTTCTTAGTTTTATTTATGTTTCCCTTCCTTCCCAGTTCTTAGTTTTATTTATGTTTCCCTTCCTTCACAGTTCTTAGTTTTATTTATGTTTCCCTTCCTTCCCAGTTCTTAGTTTTATTTATGTTTCCCTTCCTTCCCAGTTCTTAGTTTTATTTATGTTTCCCTTCCTTCCCAGTTCTTAGTTTTATTTATGTTTCCCTTCCTTCCCAGTTCTTAGTTTTATTTGTTTCCCTTCCTTCCCAGTTGTTATTTTTATTTATGTTTCCCTTCCTTCCCAGTTGTTATTTTTGTACTTGACTCTTTCACGTAATTGAAAAACTGTAAATAAATAAATAATAAATTTCTGCTAAAGGAAAAAGCTTAAATAATTTTTTTTTTTAAATTAAATAAAGTATTTTTATAACTAAATTGAAAGTTTACGATCAGTACGTAAGTGTTGCCAAGACAATATACCGAAAGCCATTGAATAAATTCTAAATATATTAATAAAAGCTATTGTAATCAATTAAGCTAAGCTTTGGCACAAGGTCAAAAGTATCAGGTTCCCAGTGAGGATTGAACTCCTTATTCGGTAGTCATGAGCTTTCTACCCATTACTTCACAGTAAAGAGTCCAACTGTTATTCTTAGAAGTAGGAATTTTTTTTTTTTTTTTTTTTTTTACTAATGTTCACACAATACGAGGCCCAGGAGCAACTCAAGGTAGAGGGTTACTGTGGTGTTGTATGAGCGTTAGAAGAGCTGAAGCAAACTCTAGAAGCAACTGGAAACCCAACCTTAAACAGGAAATAAGGGATAAACCTCAACTCCTGTTCAAAAGATTGGGGAGGAGTGTGAACTGGACGATAATCAAACCTATCTACTCCTATTGGCAGAGGAGAGAAACAAAAATGAAATAAATTTCAGAGTACAGAGCTGAAGTAGACTTTTGAAGGAAACCCAACCTTAAACAGGAAACAAGGGATAAAAAAAATTATTTTTTATCATTATTATTATTAGTACTAGTATTAGTATTAGTAGTAGTAGGAGGAGGAAAATAAAATAAATAAATAACACCGCCACCTTTTACTATTCTGGCTAAATTGCTTCCAGAATTAAAAATGTCTTGATTTAAGGACTTTTTAATTAAGATAAGGATTTTTTTATGGCCCAAAATATATAAAGAGAATTTCGAAGCGTATCTCAATGAACAGGAAGTGTGACATCTCCTCTGACAAACATATTTTTAAATGGTCAGTATTTAGCTAATACCATATTGCAAAATATCCTTTGTCTGTGATTTGAAACGTTTTCTTTTTTCTTTTTTTTATCTAAGCAAATATTAAATAACCACTGGGACCAATATTCTTGGAATGGTTAAAAGGTTTGCTTAATTATTGTTATTGACTTTTAATCTTGTACTTTGTCGTTATTTTCTACTTGTTTTCTTTTTCTTTTTTCTTTAACAATGTTGAAAAAGGTGTAAATGTTAAAAAAAAAAAATTTGATTAAAGGATTTTTCGAAATATGGTGACAGCTGAAGATTAATCGGTTTGTGCTGTCCGTAAGTTTCAAATGTAGCTGTCACCTGGTTTCAGACGGTAACTTTTAACTTTGCATTGAAAATAAAAATGACAGAAAATTTCACATTTAAAAAAAATAATAATTTTTCTCTATAAACACAGATTACCACTGAAACAGTTTTTTTGTCCCTCCTACTCAAATTGAAATGTTTTTGTAGTTATATACACCTTTTGTTTTGTTTTTTGTTACAGTGTCTTCTTCAAAAGGAAAAAAAAACTGTTAATAATGGCAATGTTTAATTTTTTTCACTGCAAAAAACAAAAAAACTACTGTGTCAAAAGGACAGTTTTTCTCTTGTCACTGTTATTACTTATACTCCTTTGAATCCTTCAGCCATGTTTCTTTTAAAAGGTGATGGTTAGAATTTTAATGAAACCCAGACATAGGATAGTGGATTTTATTATTTATCAATTGAGCTAGCATAGACATTCATGAGTCTTTCATGCCAACAATCATGATCCTGCATCAAGGTCAGAAGGTCATTATGGTGGCATCCTGTGTCATAACATAGCTGGTTAATGTAGGTGGTTGCTGGGCACTCATCCTGACTTCCATCATGGCTAGGTGTCCAGAACAGTAGATCACTCACGAGTCCTTGTTTTGCTTGCCATCAGTGTCCTGCAAAATGCATTATGTGTTTGTGTAAGATTATAAAACTATTAGGAATAGTTCCATAGAGTTGTGATTTAGTTGAATGTTGTCTCCAAGAGATGTTTATGTATAGCTTTCAGCATCCAAGTGTAGGTTCCATCAAATTTAAGGGTTTTAGTTAATGTCCAAACAGTGGCACTATACATTAAAACCATCTCTACTTTGGTGACAAAGAATCTCTGCTTGAGGTTGTCTGGCAGATCAGATTTCCAGATTACGTCCTTTTTATTCAAGGCACCCCAGGCTTTAGTAATGTGAATTTTCACATCCTTTTCAGTAGAATTTATTTCACTTCCTCGGTATGTAAAAGATTCATAGATTTTATTGAGTCACCTGAAACAGTTCATATTAAGCCAAAGATTTACCTTAAACCCACTAACCCCCACTGAGTCAGGTTGTGACACAAGATCGGTTTTTAATTTGGGTACCTGAGTGTTTC